TTCTGCATTCGCTGATGCTTCCCCTTAAAAGAAAACAGAAAGGATGTAATGTATCACAGTAGCCTTCTTACTCTATTCTTAACTAATTGAAGAATTAGTCCACCACATTTTACCAACCCGACATCCACCCCTTAATTTATTTGTTTCTACAGGATCTTTCTGTGATATGTAATTGGTTGCTTGAGAGTCACGCGTTAACTGTATGTTTCCACACATATATAGCATCTGCAGATCTTCTGGCCTTTGTTTTTTGTAACTAAAGAAATAATAATTTGTTTTCACCAAACAGTTGCTGCTGTTCCCGATGGTTTGAAGGCATGGGAGATACTGAAGGAAAGGCGACATAACATAGACCTTGTATTGACTGAGGTTGAGCTGCCGTCAATATCAGGATATGCACTGCTTACTTTAATCGTGGAGCATGATATGTGCAAAAACATACCTGTTATAAGTATGTGATGTTTTCTTGATCTCAGCTCTTATTTTAATGTTCATTTTTCACAGGGAGTTATGAGTGCTTAATCCGCCTATTTATTTATGCAGTGATGTCGTCCAAGGATTCCATTAGCACGGTCTTGAAATGTATGGTTAAAGGAGCTTCCGACTTTCTTATGAAGCCTGTTAGGAAAAATGAGCTGAGGAACCTGTGGCAGCATGTTTGGAGAAGAAAAAACGTATGTTTAAATCTCGACAAAGAAAAGAAAACATTTAAAATGGTTATCAAATTTAACCAACTGAATCTAACAAGAAGTTATTTTGTTTCACTTTGAATGGTCAGCAAAGTGCTGGAAGCCGTCCTCAAAATAAAGTTGTTGAAAACCAGAAAGTAGCTGTGTCTGAGAACGAAGCAGCAAGTAATTATTCTAGCGACAATCTGGCTTCTATTCAAAGAGGATATGACAAATCTAGCGATGCACAAGTAAGTGATATCTTCTGTGTTCATGACCTCATTTAAATGAGATATATGAGCACCATCATCTTGTACTTAATTGATTTTGACGTTACATGATGATCTATATGTAATTCTTGCGCCAACTTTAAGCTTATTTTGTTAAAGTTCATTTTTTTTCCAACAAAAGAAATTGTTTAAGTGAGATAAAATGCTTATTTTTTGTTGCACTTCAAGCAGTCAATTGCCATCAGATTTTCTGCGGATAGTTTATTTTACATCATAAAAGTTTGAAAATGAATATCATTTCCAAAATGTATGATATGATGCATTACATATAGATCATCTTGTACCATGCCTTTATTTGAATCTGAAAGTGCGTGTATTGCAAATATGCAGGGCATTAAAGATATTAGATGTAGAGATGCTTCAAATACGTGCGATGAAGAATGTGTTGAAATGGTCGAAAGATCATTCATGCCAAAAAGTAAACCACTAGGTATGGAAAGCTACTCCGTTTCGTCTCTTCTCAAATTGTAGAAAAATATGACTAAGCTTTGTACTGACAAACAATCATCTCTAGCAAACATGACTAGCTCGGGAATAGGAACTTCTTCTTGCACTGGACCTTACAGCTCAGTTGCTATTAGTTCAGAGGAAGGCTCTCTTTGTGCTGAACCAAGGAGTCATAGTGAAAATACTTGTACTGTTGATGAAGTTGATTGCCGGTTGTATGAACTCTCTTCTGCACCTTGTACTGAAGCAGTTGACTTAATAGGGAAATTTGAAAATTGCTTGGCTGATAACGGCCATTCTGATGAAAGAAAAGAGAAATCGAATGTCGCTTCCAGGTTGGGACTTTGTTTGAGAACATTTAATCCCAGTTGCTCAAACGATGACGGGTCCAGAGAGCAGAACATGATAAGTCATTCAAAAGTATCTGCTTTTGCCAAGTGAGTTTTGCCTTCTGTTCATTGACATTCTAGTGTTGAACTTTCCTCTTTGCTAAGTGGATTCCTCAAATATGAAGTAATATTGTAGGATTTATTACTTTATTTAACTCGTCACAGATTATATTCACGGGCCCGTTTTGGAATTCAACTTCTGCAAATTATCTGTTCTGCAAATCAAATTCAACTTCTGAGAATTCATTAAAGTTTTTCTTTTATGTCAGATATGAAAATAAGAAGACAATACAATATCTTTTCTCTGGATTGACTAGCAATTCTGGTCCATTCAAGGAAGGCTCTAGTGCCTCTACTTTGGAGCACGTCGCTTCATTGACTGAGAGTGAGCACAACGCAACAGCTCTGGTTATGCGCCAACCAGGAAATTGTAAAGCCGCAATATCGGACAACCAACTAAGCTTCATTCCAGTAGAATCAGGTTATCAACAAGTACAGAGTCCTAAATCACAATCTCCACTTCCAACAAGTTCTTTGACTTATTCATATTCCGAAGTACAAAATCTTGAGCACGACAAGCAGCCATTTGATGATACGACAGTTCACTCTGAGGACAATGTGGAAGAAGCGGGTAACCTGAAGTTAGTAGCTGAGAAAGAAAGAAATGATTCTGCAATTTGTGGATCTAGTGATATGGGAAGTGGCGTGACAAATAAGCTCAGTAGCTCTCGTTGCGGAAGTACTTCAAATGAAGCTATAGAAAGTTCCTCTGCAGTTGCAAGTCCGGGGAGAGATCCTGTTTCTGAGAGTGTGAACTACAATGACATCCTTCAACTTGATAGGACGAGAGGGGAGAGTCATAGCACCAGTCAAAGGGAAGCGGCACTCGTGAAGTTTCGGTTAAAACGGAAAGATAGATGCTTTGAGAAAAAGGTATCTATAACCTTTGTGCTAGTGTCATTATTCAACTTAATTAGATATATTGCATCTACGGGAACTAATGTCTATATTCTGTTTAACTAGCGGAATTTTTGCCAGCTAAGTTTTTTACCTAAAGAGGGTCAGAAACAGATGGAAAGTTATTAGCTAAAGTTAAGGCTCCATATTATATGATTAACAGATAATAAATGTATCTTGTTACATGTTGTAAAGCACCATCCTCTTGGTACTATAATAAGCAAAACACCTTTCTCTCTCCTTAAAAAAGCAGATAATGTCGGTTTTTGGCCTTCCATATACTTGAATGATGAAATTGTGGACATACCGCAATGTTATTCAGAAGTGGCCAACATTTAGTTAGCATGTTCTTTCTGTCTTTCAGTATAGTGATATTAGTTTTGGCACAGGTTCGGTATCAAAGCAGGAAAAGACTTGCAGAGCAGCGACCTCGAGTGAAAGGACAGTTTGTTCGTCAGCTGCAAAATGAAGCTCAGTCTTGAAGGACAAAGACGAAACACGGGTAGTCTGTCAATCGGATAGTTTACGAAACACGGGTAGTCTGTCAATCGGAAAGTTAAACTATTCTCACTAACGGTTTTAGGCAAATGTAGCATAAACATCTAGATATAGGTTTGTACTTTGTGAATGTCTTGTAAGCTTGGGTAGGGGATTGATGATAGTGCAACTCAGGATGTTTCAAGTTTGATTGGTTTATAACTTTATATACATTGTAGGTGAATTTGTCTTGCTTTGGGAGAAAGTTTAAAACGTTGGAAGTATGGTAATGTTTTTGTTGTTTGATATTCCAGAGATTGGGCTTGAAACTTGAGTATTCATTTGTGTATTATGTAAATAGTCGCAGAAGAAAATACTGAAGGAGATCTACTCATGGCTCTTATGATACTTATTAGACTTGTAACTCGAAACAATCCTTATTGTTTCAAATATTATGTACAAACTTTTCTTTTCATCGATTATGTGATGTGACTGTTGAATCTAGAGTTGACAATGCAATTTGCTTGTTGTGCCTTAAATTTATTTTCTTGTATTAATTAATTTAACCATGTATCATTGTTTGCATGAACTTAATTTTTAACAGCCACTTAATTTCTTTAAATTAAATCCTTATATCTTATACTCCAAATTGAAGCTTTCCGACGGACAACTGGCTTCAAGAAGCAAGATAAGCCAGCTGAACGGGTTCTAGTTTCTAATTTGAAAAGAAAGTCGGAACGGTAAAAGTTGACGAGGGAAACTAGGTTCAAGAATTTTTTTTTTTTTTTTTTGTTTTGTTTCCCATCCGGTGTCCGGTACCCGCGTTGAAGCCCGATTATATCCGGATTCACGCCAAGTAGGGCCCCATTTTGGGAGAAGCGCTCCCTACTAAGGATTTTTCCATACCCAGGGTTCGAATCCGAGACTTCTTAAGGAAAGAGAGCCACATTTGCGACACCACATCCTTTGGTGGTAGATTCAAGATGTTGCAGAGCAAAGAATCATTTCTTGTAATAAAATTAAAAAAATACTTCATAACCCTATAGATTTAACCCTATGGAGCCACTCCCCTAGAGGTCCTTCCACCATGCTGTAGAACGAGAGCCCATGAGGAACCTTTAGTTTGTTCATTCTGGTTGTTATTGTTGAGACTTTTGTGTACATTATGGTTGAGTCATGTGCTCTTTACTGTGAAATAACCGTTATTGCTTGGTTTTCTGGTAAGTTGTGACACTTAAGGTGCGGTTTGTGATACGTTATGATATTGATACGCATGCAGTGGTATAAGGTTTTGGGGTTGAAACGTATGTGATGAGATAAAAGTGGACTTGATACGCGTGGCTAATAGGGGTACTAGAAGTCATTCGGTGTAACAACGGTAGAACATAACAAAATACTATGGCTAGCTAATACGAAAGTGTGGTAAATTCGGCTAAAATATGAGACCCAAAGGGCTTGACAGGCACAACCCTATCTTATTCGAGTCTGAATTTGCACATTGCATGTGTCGTTACTTATGCCTTGCACAAAATCAATTTTTCTACAACGACTCCAAAAGCAATTCTTACCTAAACTCATTCAAAGATTGAAACAAAAGAAAATAAAAGAAAAACAACTCTTATGGACTGGACACAAGAAATGGTGACAGAAGTAGCCGCTCCATTTTCCAGATGTCATCATATAACACTCAGAAATTACACGTAGTCGGCAGAGCCAAGAATCTTTGTAATCAATAGTCGTAAGCTAAAGTTAAAAAAAAAAAAACAAAAGAATTGCACTGAAACAACTAGCTAACTTCTCTTCTCTTATCACTAAGCAAAGAGAGAACCTAATTCTCCTCTTTTCCTTTCTTTTTCTTCCACTTGACCCACAGATTCTTCTCTTTTTTCCACCTTTTTTCTTATTGTTCTCTCACCACCATCACTCACTTAACAATTCAAAGCTGCACCTAACTCTCTCCTTTGTTAAAGCTACTTGGTTTTAGTTAAAATATCATTTTCCGTTCAAATAATTGCTTATGTAAAAATATTGAGGTGAGTCTTAATTTTATAATACCTTTTTTTCTTCTCTTCTTTTAGCTAGTGCTTATATAATAAGGATTTTTTTTCTTCTAACATCTCGATTATATACATGTCAACATCGACCTAAGAAAAATAATTACAAATTGGAATTTGGAGCAAATTTAAGTTTAAGAAATTGCTTATGTAAAATATTGAGGTGAGACTTAATTTTATGATACCTTTCTTTTCTTCTCTTACATTAGTTAGCATGCTTATATTATGAGCTAACATCTAATTATATACAGGTCAACGTCGACTTAAGAAGCAGTACGAGAGGAAAAGTATAGCTACTTGTAAGGTTGGGTTTGGAGCAAAAAGCAAAGCAAATTAAGCCAATTAGTACAAGATTTAGCTACAAAAAGTTCCAAGAATGAGTGATCAAGATCAACAAAAGATTCAAAATGAAGGTGGCTATACTCAAAGACCATCTCCATTATCATCTTCTAATGCTCAAAGGAAGTATTCATCATCATCATCTAAAAATCCTGCCAAAACTTTGTGCACTTTTCTACTAATTTTCCTCATATTAGTTGGTCTCACTTTGCTCATAGGGTGGCTAATTTATCGACCCCACAAGCCAAATTTCACTCTAGTAAATGCTGCAATTTACCAATTAAACATCACATCCCTTCCTTATATGTCCACTACTATGCAATTCACAGTGTTGGTAAGAAATCCAAACCGGAGAGTTTGCTTGTTTTATGACCAATTTTCAGCTCTAGTTTCTTACAAGGGTCAAGCTATTACACCTCCAGTGATGCTGCCACCTTTATTTCAGGTAAGTAAGGGTATCAAATGGACAGGTTGAGCTAAATTTTATGAGTTAAAACAGGTCGAATTAATAAGTAGGTCAGGTTCCGAATTTGTTTGGCTCAAAATGAGCACGACAGTTTGGGCTAACTAATGTGTCATGACTCAAACCGACCAACTTTGTTTTCTTTCTTCCTTTTAGGAACTTTAATTACCAAGCAAATTAACAACCTTTAATACTATCAAAACTTCATCTAATCAACACCCCCACCCCCCCCTTTTTTTTTTTTTTTTTTTTTTTTTTATAACATTTGGATACGTTTTTTTAATGGGCTAATTCGGGCAACGTGACTGAACAAATTGATCCAAGCTTTCAGATGGTTAACTTGGGCTATGTCTAAGTTGACCCACTAATGAATATGTGTCGGAGAAAGTGCACAAACAATCATTCTTAGGGCTGCTTAGGGCTGCTTTTTGGAGATTAGTTATTACTTATTTTGACGGAAAATTTAAACTAAACATTTTAATTTTAGTATAATTCAGGATATTTGTGTCCCAAATTAAACTGAAAGCTGAAATTCAGGACGCGTTACCTAGTTCCTAAATAGCATCCCTTTAGAGTGGTTATTAGTGTCAGTTCTACATATTATATGTCCAATCTAACTCGTCAACTTGCACAGGATAGATGAGTTATATTTTTATCGGCTAAATTTGACATACTTAATTTCAGGATACAAAAAGCACTGTGCCTTTGTCGCCGGTGATCGGAGGCGCGTTGGTGCCGGTATCGGTGGAAGTTGCAAATGGGTTGGTGGTGGATGAAACGTATGGGATGGTGGCTTTGAGACTGGTGTTTATGGGGAAATTGAGATATAAAGCTGCATTTATAAGGACCAGACACTATGGAGTTTATGTCAAGTGTGATATGTTGGTAGGGTACAAGAAGGGTTTTGTGGGTCAAGTACCTTTGCTTGGTTCACCAGAGTGTGAAGTTGATTTATAAATTTTCTTTTCCTTTGTGAATAAATGACAAAGTGTACCTAAAGATTATGAACTTCCAATTATAGGAAACTGAATGATCATAATTGTGTTTTTTCCATTCCAGCCTTCAATTTGTAAACATATGTTAGTTATATTGCCTTTTTTCCTTTTACAAATTAGAGTAAGTCTATAAAAGGAAAAGGACAATCCGGTGCATGAAGCATTCCGTCTTCACGTAGGTTTGGGGAAGGGACGCATTCTAAGGGGGTGTGATGCAGGTAGTCTACCTTGATGTAAGTATCAGTGGCGAATTCCACGAATCGAACCGTAACTTATAAGTCACACAGAGACAATTTTACCGTGCTCCAAGACTCCCCTTCAAATTACAATAAGTCTTTAAGTTCACAAATTTTTTCGGTTTTCTACCTAGTGGTCGATATCTGTATTGGTTCCAAGCTAATCCAGATTCGCGTAGTGTAAGGCTCATGATTACAAAAGGAAGATTCCCTATTAGCCTTTTTATATTTCGAGGGTCTTTGAAAACAATCTCTCTATCTCCATGACATCTTTGGGGGGGGGGGGAGGGGGGGACGTTGAGCAGTTAGCAAGCTCTTATTAGGACAAAAACTGCTGCTCATAGTTGAACTTATAAACTAAATGTAAAAAGTACTGCTCATATTTAAATTCATTGTCAAAATCACTCCAACAAAAACTTAATAGACTAAACATTGATGCTCATACTTGAATTCACTGTCAAAATGTGCCCATTAAGCAACATCGACCCAAAAATACTGCTTAATAAGCAACATAAACAGTTAAGAGTGCGTCGCACAGTTACGAATTATAGACTGGACCAGTTTTGCCATTCAGATTGTAGGTTTTAGACAAAAATCCAAAAATACCTCTAAAGATGCAGTTAACTTTTACATTTACCCATTTGTGAATATGGATCAAAAGAGTTATTACCCGGATAGGTTAAGAGTTTAATTAAATGTGTTAATTTACTTTACTAAAATTAATTAGAGGATTAGAGATAATCACCACGTCAGTTTTTCTCTTGAAATTTACATTTTTTCGGTCACTTTTTATTTCTGTTAACTAGGTTATACTAAAATAAGTCTTGTGTTGCACAAAAAAGAAAAAAGTAACTTTGTATTACAAAATTTAACTTAAATGACCATCGGTGAAATTTATCCCGTATAAAACACAACCTCTTTGTTTATCTTGAAAATGGTAACTACAATTATATTTGATTTTGTGGTTCTAAAAATACGTGATTTATTTTAATAGTTGTTAAGCAATAGATGCTAGGTATAAATAAAGAGAATAAGATATGCAAACCAATGGGGTCACAAAGCTGGGCCTCGAGCTGGCTGAAGCAGGACCTCGAGGTCTGGACGGAGCTAATAACGATGAACTATTGATGAAGAATCAATGGTAGTGAAAGCCTTAAAGATGGCCTTTTACGATTAATAATGAGCAATAAATGAAGAATAATAAATGAACAATGTAAGAATAAGCAATAAATGTGAAGAACAGTTGTTTTAGCAAAGAGAGCAGAGAATGTTGTATGTTACTCAATATCTTGTGTCCTTACAAAATGACAAAGGTCCCCTTTATATAGGAGGGGTGAATCCCAACATAATACATGTCTAATAAATGACGAATAAATGCTACTAGTACAGCTGTATAACGGCTCGGTTCGGATTTGTACTATTCTTGCAGACTCTGTCAGTCCTCATTGTGTGCCCTCGGGGGTTTCCCGCCTTTCCATGACGATCACCGACTCGTGCCGCTCCGAGATCGACCTTCGATGTGCCCCTCGAGGGGAGCCATTCGGGGTCAGTCCTTAAGTTCCACTTCGAGCCCCTCGAGGCCGGGCGTGAAGTGCCACAGTAGCCTCAAAGTCGGATTCTCCGATTTTGGCCGCATACACTCTTATATAGTCTATGACTTTTTTCTTATTTATGTTACGGGCATTCGTTTTTCAGTTCTCTAATGGATATTATATTTGTGTCTTGAAGTCTTATTTTATTTTGCTTTGAAAAGGGCGTTTCGTTATTTCCTCATCAGAAAGAGAAATCATGAAACATTTACTGTTAACATCAGCTGTAACCACATTCTATATCATTTCAAAACGTTTGGCTTATGGATTTCTTCCTTAGTCGAATCATCTATAGCAACCCGACTTGAATTTACTGGTTGTTAGGTATCCTCACGTGACGGATGGACTCCCTATTTTCACAGCCTAATAATCTCTCTAAGATGCAGAGAATCGAACCGTAGCCATCGTTTTGTTTCTCATAAGAAACATTAGAAAGGAAAATATATCTTTATATACACATATAATGACGCATTTATAGGTTATAACTAGGGTTTAGGAAGATGACTTATTAATGGGCTTAAAAGTCATTTAGCACCTATTGGCTTAAGTAAGTTTGTTTTGATGATTGACAAAGGAACTCAAGCATGAACCAAGTTCATACACTGTGTACACAGACACGGGCAGATTCGAGCACAAGGCATCCACGTGAAAAAGATAAGCTTAAGTGGTTATATCTGATATCTCCTGAACGAAAATGTTGCATAATTGATAAGGAGAAGGACTCCTTACTCGAACAGAACTCTATCCTAAATAAGGGAGGAGTTAGAAGTCGAGGATAACTAGAATTCTTCCACCAAGGAAGAGTAAAGCATTAGACTTCTAGTTATTTCCTATTCTACTAACTTTATATATTTCAGGATGTTCTCTTTTACAGGTAACGCACAAACGCTGAAGTTAAATGAGAGTTGAGAGCAAAATAGCAAGGCATTTCGCAAGCAATTCCTATGTGATTCAAGCACTATAAAAAATCGGCAATATTGCAGCGGTTTTGATACGGCGTTGGGTCAATGAAACAACCATAATAAGCACTCTACTAGCGCAATTTTTCAGTCGCCATATTATCCAGCCGTAAATTGGTGGTTTATCATATATTACTGCGGACAAACCTAAAATAAGCGTCACTCATAGTGCCCGTTTGGACATAAAATTTGATGGAAGATTTTTCCAAAAAATTTTTACTTTTTTGCGAAATCAGCGTTTGTTCATAAAATTTCCAATTTTCACTTAAAGATGCAATTTCGAAATTTTCGAAAATTTGAAAAACTGCAAAAAGCTATTTTTCAAATTTTTTCTTCAAATCACTCACAAAACTTTAAAAACAACCGAAACTAAAATTTATCTCCAAACACAACTCTAAATTTCAAATATCATTTTCGCTTGAAAAAATATTTCACCCTTTTTTCGAATTTTACAATTATTATGTCCAAACACCTACATAGTCTCACCAATTAGAACTTCCCCCAAATAAATCCTATTCTGTGCAGTTTTCCCTCTCCCTTGCCGGCATTTCATCAGATCGCCGTAGCCGGCGATTCTCTCTTCTCTCCTCTTCTATTCTCGCCGAGGCCATCGATTCGAACACGAGAGGGAATGGCGAAGCTTCTGGTCTATTCTCACCGAGGCTTTCGATGCGAACACGAGAAGGAGGCTATCGATTCAAACACGATGAAGCTCGTATGGAGTTTGCTTATCTCCGCAGCGGCTTCAGTGATCTCAACTCTCAACTTCAAACAAAGTTCAGCTAGGTCCTTTCCAATTTTATCTCCTTTTCGCTATTTATTGATTTGGTTTTAGGGTTTCAGTGTTAGTTTGCTTTGATCTGTCAATATAGCTGTCAGATTTATTCTTAGCTTCCTTTATTTTTTGAAAATTATTTTATATTATATCCTAAGGAACAGTCTGTTTAGTGGCAGCGCATGGTTAAATTTGGATTGTGAAAAATAATTATTAGAGAGTTTGTTCGAATAATTAATCTTTTTGGAGAGAAATCTTACCTTTTCGGCAAGAGGATAAGTTTCATTTTAACATACCAAAGAGAAAGTAATTTGTCTTATTATTTAGAACAGAGGGACCAACCAATTGTAAAACCTCATAGTGGATTTTAAAAACCTTAACTATCTCTGTGTATACGGTCAAAATCGGGCCTATCCAATTTTTCTATTTAATCGAGACAAGGGAGTTGCGTCGGGGATGACCTCGTAATGAATCAGACCCGAGCTCGAAGACGATGCATCGTGTCCAAAGATCGAAGTTTCCGTCAAGACTGAGACCAACAACAGTAGAGACTAAGTGGCACGCCCTCTTTTTCTCGGGAAATTACCTCGAGGCATCAACAACTATTACACAATAATTACCTCGAGAGAAGGTGTTAAGCACTCTTCGAGGTCCACAACTGTGGGTCCCGGCCGAACTCGAATGATATGAATTAGTCTATGTGATCAAAGACAAAGAAAACAAGGAGTTTGGGAAGTTCATTATTAAACACAAATAATTGATTTAAAGACAAGATGGGGGGTGCTAAATTTGTTAGCCTAAAGGATCACCCCGTGCAACATAAATAATACTTCGTAACTCCCTCAAGATGGGGCGTTACTCGTATTATTCAGCAAGCACAGACTATCATCTCCTGCTACCCGATTACTATCTTTAAGTTGTTACCTAAAGCGCACCAGTTGATTCTAAACCATGCCTTATGCGTGCACTACACTTCCCATGCCTATGGTCCAGGAGGCGCTTGGACCTTTATTTTTGGGTGGTTCTAGACCTAACTTAGGTTACTCAAAATGAGAAAACTAAGCGACATACAAATAAGTTGGACTTCACATAAAAGCAGTTAAGGGCTCAAGTTAAACTCCACACTTAGACAATAAATGCACGCAAACAAATTAAGTGTTTGACAATTCCAGAATTGAGACGAGTTAAAGTCATTAAGCCGTATAGACATGGTTTCTATATGACCTTGAAATTCAAACATCCAGGCAGTTTCTGATGTAAGGTGCTATTTTAGAGGCATGCTTTCTGAATAACTATATATTTTAGGGAGTCTAGTATTGCGTATTGATTACTAAAATTAAAGATTATAAGTGTTTAAACCTATAGACATGATATCTAGGTGCAGTAGCTGGCAGTGATAATCATGGAAGATATTCAGAATTACTTAGTTTGATCCTATAGGCATGCTTTCTAACAGTGACAACGAAACAGTGTTCGAAAGTTCAATATGAATACTTAAAAGCGA